CACACACACACACACACACACACACACACACACACACACACACACACACACACACATTTAGTCTGAGACCAAAACATATTTTATTTCACAGTCAAACACAAGACAGACGGACATAAAACGATGTGAGTTTTCAGAGCGTTTGAATTTAACAGGTCGTTTTTAGATTCAGTATCCTCTTGTTATCATTGACACTGGACCAGAGTTCTGAGCAGCCTGAACCCTCTGCCTCATCCTCTCCTTGTGTTCGGCTGCCAAAAGAAACAAAAAGTGTCACATTTAATGATAAGTGCAAACATTAGCTGGAACTCTAACATTTGTACTCGTGATTATAGTTGATACTAAAACGACACAAGTGMTGACAACTAAAACTAAAATTCGCAGATAATCGCATTAACTCTGGTTTCAGTTTCAGGGTTAAAACATAAGTTTTGGCTCTGAAATTATCCTCAAACTTAATTTTGGCCACAAAACAGAAAAAAACAAAACAAAACAAAAAACACAGGCATAAATTCCAAAATGTCATAACTTTTCTTGTGCGGCTAACAATAAAATTCTTATTTTTATCTAAAACAAAATAAGCTAACAAGACACAAATGACAACAAGAAGAATTCCCTTTAGTGTTGCTGCAGTTTTTTTTTAAACTTTTTTATTTTGTGAAATAATAACCCTCCTACTACATTTGTGGCAAAATGACCGAACTTTAACTGAATTTCAGTATTTAAATAGCACTTTACCACAACAGTTTACAAGTTTTAGTTTACAAGATAAATAAAAAACTGTAAAATAACATATTTTTAAAACTTTTGTTTAACCATATTTTGACTGACAAATGCGCCATAACATGATGACCTAATACTTCTATAACTGATACTTCTGGTCTGTTTTGATTAAAAATGTTTAAGTAAAGACATATAAAAGTGAAAATAAAACAGAACAGTATCATTTTATAATGAGAATAATATATACACAAGATTTTTTTTCACAATACAACAAAATAGTTTCATGTTATTTGTGTTTATTACAAAAAAAAAACTCTTTTTCTACATTGTAACAACTTGTAATCATGTAAAGAGATTTAGATTATAATGTAACAAGTATATAAATATTATAAATTATTTCGTTAGAACAGAAAAGATGGATGGTTTTGAAGGAAACCTTTAACATTAAAACATGATAGTTGTGTTTGACTTTGTTGGAGACGTTCCAATAAACYTCTCTCTGTTTCCTCAAGCTTATATAAGGTTTTTGTTTTCTGACATGATTCCATTTCTGTCTTTTTGATTTTCTGTCACTCGGACCTTTACAGTAAATATAGGATTAGAATTCATGCAGTTGATCAGGTTTTACTGTAAACAAAAACGTTTTTAAAATGAAAAATAAATTGTAGTAAGAATTGGTACATTTTGACATATTATTACTGTCAAGTTATGCTGCTTAGTACAAAAACCTATTGTTGCATGTAACATAATATTAAATAATTTTCATCTAATTTTTTGGTTTGAACAGAACCGTTTGGGGATGTAATGAAGTACAGCTTTGGTTTTTACTGAGACTCATGGAAACAAATTCTGCACCTCAGCAGCAAGTAAAGAGTTAATACAAATGTTATACAGAAACATGATTATTTGTATTTACATGGGGCACATTAACCTCCAGTTTCAGCAAACATAGTATTCTTTAGTGTTTTTCTCCTGTCAGACTCTACATGGAGCACTGTATGAGAACTGACTGTGCCTTAGATCCACTAATATCTATGTTTTAACAAATTTAAAACAAACTTTCCAACTATAAGGCTAATTGTAAACATTCATCGTGACTTCGAGGCATGAGACTTATTGAAACCTTATGGAAAACGAAACCAATGTTTAGACACGTTTGTTGTTGGATTTTACTACATTTGCATGATGTCAAACAAGCTCTTCAGTCTTTTTTTTTTWACTTGTCTTTGTGCCAAATGTTATACTAGATATATCCGTCTCCTACGTGCATTTTTGTTTATCTCTGAAAGAAAGAGAAACACAAATAACCCAAACTAAGTACTTACCGTTATCCCTCTTGAGCTTGATCTTCATAACCACCCCCATGGATACGATCAGGACTAAAGCCGCAACGCCACAGATCACAATGATGATCACACCGTTGTCTGAACGACGGCGGGCGGTTTCAGAGACAAAAACAGGCAAAGAATGAAAAAAAAATTGATAAAGAGTGAAAACATTTTACCGTCACAGTATGTATGTTTATATCCATGGAGATGTGGTTATTACAGCAAAACTCCACATTTTCCTAAAGATGGGAAAATGAAGAGTCAAAAAAAAAAAATCATGGAGATGACTTACTGTRATAAGTGACGTAGTATGGGAGTGAGGCACATTCGCCACACAAGGTGTTCACGCAGCATTTGTAGTTGCCTTTTTTACTAGACAGGATTTTTTCCAGAACAAGGGTTTGGTCTTGATTTTCTAACATGTTTCCATCTTTGAACCATCTATAGGTCAGATTTAAATCAGGAATGTTGTGAGAACATGTCAGCTTGACGGTATCCCCCTCCTTAATGGTGTCTTCTGAGCTGTTGACCTTTGACTTGAGGTCTGTGGAAACAACAACAAACAACAACAAAGTGAAAGTGTTGGACCGAGGGTGTCCGATCCTGGCTCTATCCTGATGTGTTACTTGTTTCCCTGCTCCAACACACCTGATGCAGTGACTGAATAACCTCTTCATGTTCTGCAGAATAATCCCACATTCATTTAGATCAGGTGTGTTGGAGCAAAGAAACCTGCAGCTCTTTGAAGCTTTGACCAAAACTGAGACACATTTTTTGTTTGTTTTTTATGTTCAGCTTTTGTACAACAGAAAAAGCTAGCTTTAGCATTTTTTTTGTTGTTGTTTTGGTCAGTTTGTTTACAAGTATATGATAGAAACTCCTAATACAAGGAGTTTGTTCGCCACTTCAACCACCCAACTTCCAGCCTTAAAGTATAATCTTTTTTTTCCTCAAATCCATCAAAAACATTTTTTGTAATACATGTAAGATGAYAAGAAATATGTTGAGTTGATTAAATGACAATAAAAATTAGAAAAAAATCTACATATGTCTGCATGGTTTAATGTTTTAGTTTTTATTAAATTTGATATAAACTTTATATTTTTTTGTTTACACGAGTCTGTTTTTTTTCTTTTACTCTAAAATGTAAAAATAATAATGAATGTTAAAATTTACTTAGTTTTATCATGTCAACTCCATTGGCCTGAAAACCCCCCTTCAATAAACTCAAAGTGGCCCACGGGCCATCAGTTGATGATCACATATGCAGCTCCAGACACATTTTGTTAGTGAGCAAAGGAGAACAAATGTCTCTTTTGATTGCAAAAGTTGCAGACCTCTGTTCTGAAACATGATGGACAGCGGCCCTCCAGGACCAGGATGGGACCCCACAGTGTTGGAAAGGTTTATGTGCACCATCACCACACAAAGATGCTGTTAGGATCAATATTGTCCACCACCATCCTGTGTGTGTGTGTGTGTGTGTGTGTGTGTGCGCGCGCACGCATTTGTGTGTGTGTGTCTGTTAGCAACATCTCTCATAAACCATTGGGAAGATTTTAATTAATAATTTTAGAAACTAACTACTAGATGTGTAACAGAAAAAAAACAAGTCAATTTGTGTTTGGTAGATTATTTCTTTCTCAGTAATAAATCACATTGGAAAGCCAGTTCATTTCTCTTTTAAATGTTGCCACATTTGTAAGGATCATGCATTTGTAGGATGAACAGTACTGAGTYTGTGGGTTGTGCACATGAAAAAATGTCCAAATCTCTGCTTGTCAACTCATTTTACTGTTGTTGTCGAGCTTTTGGTACCCCCAGGTGCTGCCAGTCTGCTGTAAGATTTATTGCCAAGAAGCATTGTTACAACAAAGAAATAATCTACCAAACACAAATGTCCTCACTTTTTGTGCAAAGTTCAAAACAATAGGTTTTGGACTCAACTCAAAATGTCTGTAACCTACAAATATTGAGCTGAAATTTAATGTGGTGGTAAATGAGTGTCATTTCTAACACACAGTGTGGTTTGAGCGACACAAAAGGCAACATGCATCCTTTCAAGGGAATGCTATTTTCATTGTTAGACATATTTGGATTAACAAGACTAATAACTAAAGTCAGAAATGAATAGTAAAAGAAAAAAAAGGAGATCACGTGATCTGTTAGTGCACAGAGCTTGTTTAGAGAAGGATCCTCTCAGCTACTACCACATCAGATTTGAGCTCAAAATCTGTGAAACTAAGCTGATCATTTTTATGTTTATTATAACTGACTTGCTGGCTTGTCCACTCAATTTTCCCAGTTTTTGATGAGATATTTTGCTAAGAAACAGACAGAAACACACAGAGAATTACATAATAATTTGCCTTTCCCATTCATAAAGGTATGTTGGCTACATTTGCCTTAGCCTCCTTCATCCAGCCCTCCTAAGTTTCGATGACAGTATCGATATGTAAAAACTCTCTAAAAAAAAAAAAAAAAAAAAAAACACAAAGTGGACTAACCAGTGCATTCAGACTTGTTAAAATAGAGCTCACAACAACCTAGAAGGTAAACAGATGGAGAGAAAAAAAGATTCATTTAATGAAAACACTCAAAATTAGCTGTGTTTTACTAGCTACGCATGCTAATTTGATTAATCTGAGTACATTTTAGTTTACTTACTTGTGATGTTACAACCCTGACACTGCTCAGCGGCAGATAAGCACATATTAGCTGAATAAGACAAGACAAAACTCCTTATTATAAAAACAAATACAGTATGCCAAAAGCAAAAGAATGCATAATAATAATAATAATAATAATAATAATAATAATAATAATAATAATAATAATAATAATAATAATTAAAAACTATATATTTGTACCTATGAGTAGGAGCCCATGCAAAAGATACATCTCTGTTCTGATCATCATCTGATAAAATAAGATTGCTGCATTAGAAATCCAGTTATGTTTAGATAAATAACACACTTTGTTAAAAGTCACACATTATATACTTGATATATAGGAAATAAAAAGGCTCAGATGTCTTGGTTTTACCTGTGTTTTTGCACCGCGTGCAGACGTGTGTGATGACCCGTCTCTGCTTTGCTTCACCCAATGGTGTCTGCAGTAACAAAAAGCAACAGAGCTGATTATAAACACTGATAGCCACGCAAATGAATTCATTCCTGGAACCCGTCGGCACAAACACCGCTACTGTTTATCTGCCCCAAAGGTGACACTGACAGCCGGCCATCACAATTTGACTGCCGCTGCTTGTTCAGTTTCAATCAGTTATAAATAAAATAAAAAAAACAGGAAAATTTAAGCCTTCACATTGCTGTTTTGTCAAGTCAAATCTTCACAGTATCACACACTGATACACAATAAATCTTATTAAGCAAAAATAAATACATAAATTAGGCGATTTTAAGTAAAAATTATGACATTTGTATAAATGTAACAAAAATAGACAAATGTGAAGCAGATGAGTACATGCAAAGATGCAAACTGAGAAACAGAGGAGTGCTGAAACATTATCAGGAAAAATAGTGTTTCTTTATGCAAAGTAGCCACCGTCTCTGTAAAACACTAAATTTAGACTCTGAAATGACCTTCATTGTCAGGAACTTAGTCAAACACTGGCCACTAGAGAGTGCTGCTGACTGGCTGTCTTCACATCTCCTTCCTTGAGTGCTTCTATTTTAGGTAGATGGTGCTTTATTCAATGTTTATATTGTTTTAGCTTATTTTAGCTTCAATATAATAGCATGTTGTGGCAATTTTAGCTTGAATGTTGAGATGGAGACAAAGTGATCTGATTACCTGGTTTTTATAGTAATTTGCATATTGGCTGCACCTTCACTTTTCTTCCTATGCAGTGAAAATAATTGTAAATGCATAATTTATAGTCTGCGGCTGGTTCCCTCTTTGGATGTTTTAATGGGAACCAAACCAAAAAACTACTGACGAGTCATACTAGAGCTGCAAAACCACCCTAACGCTTTTTTTCTATGACAAAAGGACAACAGTTACAGAAGCTCTGCAAAGAGGGAACAGACTGTTACACAAGACTTTAACGTGTTTTTTATTCACTAAATAAATAAATAAATAAATAAATAAATAAATAAATAAATAAATAAATAAATAAATAAATAAATAAATAAAACATGCCTGTGACTAATTTCTTGATCATCTTCCAGACTTAACAGGAAATCATCCAAATGCAAATTTTTTTAGAGGCCAATTTGCTCCACATGGGCCCCAACATGCTTGAAATGATTTTAATTAAGCCTACAACCAGTTTTGCTGCTTATGACACAACGTTCATCCTTCATCTTGTGGCCATCGCAAAACTTTATTTCTTGAAGAATTAATTTGGAGGCACTGTCAGTGTTGAACTCCTGAGAAAGGTCAACAACTCAGATGTGGTTCCTGACATGAATGGGATTATTTTGCTAATCTCAGTTGGCTTTAATGCCACCGTATGTTGCATTTTATAGTGTTTTTCATTTAAACACTTATACTACCTTTGATGTCATTTTGCGTCTATTTATACTTCTTTTCATAACATTCTCAGACAACTTCAGATCATTTTGCATTTAGGTAGCTATTTTTTAAATTACAAACCGCTATGATAGCTGACCCCCATTGATTTTTTTTATTTCCAAACCCTCTTTCTAAAATTTCATAAATTTACATTTCCTTTTATATTAAATCATAACATGTAAATTAAAAAAAAAAGACTGCAGTACAGTATGCCTCTGTTGTGTTCTTGCCATCTTTCGCATGCTAAATTTGGTCTTGTGCACATAAAACCCCTAAACTAGCATGACCAAGCGGCTAAGCTAACTAGCTAACGGTGTTTTGCTTGTGGCAAAAAAAAAATCTTTTTAAAGTTTTGAATTAAAATCAACTATAATTATTTAGTCATCCTCCAAATGCAACACAATATAAAACTTCTTAGACGTGCAGGTAAACGTCGATAAGTTACGGAAGTCATGTTTTCGAGAGATCAGCTACTTAATTAGCGACAACTCGCACCTGCGCYTGCAGTTTGTGCGCGTGACAGCTAGGTTGAAGTTGTGAGGAACGTGAGCTCTGTAGCATTTTCTTGTTTTTCGTTAAAAGTGGTTGCTTTCAAAGCATTTTACAACAGGTTCAGTCTCTTTACAAGGATTATAGTTCAATAACAACACAGGGAATATAGCAAACGTGTTCTGTCAGCGGCAACACAGAAACTAGAGAGGTATGATTGACAAGCAATCAGTGCTAGCATTTTCTTGAATTTTAAAATATGTGGTTTGTTTTGTCATCTAAATTAACTTCCTTTACTAAACCATACACACTAATTAAAAGTAAGGAAGTAGCATTGTGATTTTAGAACATATTTAGCACTTTTTAAATAAAATTTGAGTTTAATTTAAAACAATTTGAGTTTAATTTAACACAATATAGTTTGAAGGCTTTGCAGTGTGCCTGGGGCACTGTTATATAAATCAGGAAATCATCAGAACCTTTCCACTGAGCAGCAAACCTTTGATATATGCAAAACCAAAACTGCTCAACTGCAGCTGCATTGTGTTTCTAACGCAGAGCCATGATAAGCAGGCTTTCTACACTGACTACACAAAAACACAATGAGTCTGCCTATGTCCCCACATCATAGAGTTTCTCAAGATGTAGGTTGAAAGCAGTTTGATCATAGTAACCAGACTTCCTCTTTTGTGGCTTGTTGCTATGGCAAGACTTCCCTTCCAGGCAGGAAGTGACAGGAAGACCCAAGTGATGCGTTTTTTTTTTTTTTTTTGTGTTAGTGTGTATGAGAAGTGGTACATGAAGTTAGGGTGGAGCACTCTGCGGCCGTCTTTGACAGTTTGCGCTTCATAGAAGATTAGGCTTTTTTAAAACCTGGACCACCATGGCGAAGAACTTCAATAGTTTAGGAATCCCTGTTGGCCACATGGTGAGTTTGCGCCACTTTGTGCTCACTGGTTTGCTTATGCACTTGTTCTGAATGTAATAGGATTTATGTGTTCATGTAGCGTTGTCTCTGTTTTTTTTTTTTTTTTTTTTTTTTTTTTTTTTTTGCTGTACCGGTACTTTAAATAGATGTCATCATTTTGGTATGTCAAGAGAGCAGAAGAGCAGTTGTGCTGTGTTGGCTTGAGTTGCCTGTCTTCACTCCTCTGCAGGGTCAGATCCAATCAGACTGCATGTCTACAGTTGGTTGCCACTGAAAACAGGCTGGGCCTTCCTGAGCCAGGAGCAGAAACCAAGCCATGCCTGTTGTCCAATCTGTCAAGTGTGGGCTGAGTTGGCTTGAATTCACTCGCTCTGAGGCCCATTACATTTCCTGAAATGGTTCCGCTCTGAAAAAAGTGCCAAGTGTATCTATAGATGTGTTTTAATGAAGCCAAAAGGTCTTGGATGTTGAGTTATAAAAAGTGTTGATCTCTGTTTGTCACTGCTTAAAGTGCAGATAACAAAAAGTGTTCAAGTTAATGATGATGCATTTGTCTTCATAAAAACTGAGTGAAAATTATCAGCCTTCTCCTCTGGATGGGTTCATCTTTAGTGAAACGTTTCGTCTCTCCTCCAAGAGACTTCTTCAGTCTGATGAGTTTCAGGTGAACTCAGCCTTATAAGCKCTGCCTCCACATGGACAAACAGGTTAGTCACATGCAAAAGAGGGCCACCGCCTAACAATAGGCTTGATGGGGCACATGACCCTCTATGAACAAAAGAGCCAATCAAGCCTATTGTTAGTCGATGGCCCTCTTTTGCATATGACTAACCTGTTTGTCCATGTGGAGGCAGTGCTTATAAGGCTGAGTTCACCTGAAACTCATCAGACTGAAGAAGTCTCTTGGAGGAGAGACGAAACGTTTCACTAAAGAAGAACCCATCCAGAGGACCTACTTATTTTTTCTTTTTGATTTTTTTCTACCTGGATTACTGATACATCAGGACATATCAGCCTTCTGTAGTTCTGACTTAAGTCTCACAACAGACACTAAATTGTGTTTGAGACGTTCTCAGTTGTAACCCCCAACTGATTAAGGAATCACATCAAACTGTCACTCTTGGAGACTAGTTGACAACTCTTAATTCGTGGGAAAAGTGCTAGAGAATAGGCAACTTTTCCATTGCAGACTCACTGAATTGACCAGTGGGTCTGGCCACATGATATGGCTACAATTTGAATTGCCAATTTTTGCAAATCGCTGGATATTTTTGTGTGCACAGCTTGCAAATCTACACTTCTGGCCTTGTACATTATTTGCTGTCCACCTCAGCCTAGAATCACTTATTTCGAACCCTGTATTTATGAAAAAGCTGGTTCTGAGATGATTCTCAAAAAGATGGCTTCTTAAGAACTGATTAAGAGCTGTTAGACCCTTTACTATGACCCACCATAGAAACAGACCCCATGTTTATATTGAATCTGGAATACACTTTGGAATAAAGACAGAAGAATTGGACCATTAAAAAATAATTATTATTATTTATAATTGATATGGTTTTTAAACCTGGACATTTGTCTCTGATGTTTTCTATAAGAGGGGAGTTGGGGTCTCCAGCACTCTAGAGACAGGTGAGATATGCTCACAACAAGAGTATAATAGGTTGAAGACACCCTTATAGACTCTATTTTGAAAGAAAGTTTCTCAAACGTTTTGAGCATGTTCAAACTGTGACAGAGCTGCATGGACTATCTCAACGTTGCATGACATTCATTGCACACCATTTTTCCACAGCCACTATTACTGACTCAAAAATGGTAGTTGAACTATTTTGAGCTGTTAAACTCACAAGCGCAGTTATTTTAGGAGCTGTTAAACTCGCTAACATGCACATCGTTTAATATCACTAGCAGTTTTCTTATTGTGCATCTGCATTTTTGTACATATACATYTTTTTTGGCCTTATACAGCATGCCTAAACAGCTAGCTATTGCCAAATTCAAAATAAAAATGAATTGCACTGCATCTTTCAGTTAACTTTTTTTTTACAACTCATCTAAAATAGCTGAAAGTCATGGGGCTAATCTGTAAATGTAAGCTTTGTGATGTTTTAAAGGTAGGGAAGGACTTTATGATGCAGATAGAAAGTCGAAGATGACTGTGGAAGTGTGGACACGGTGAAGCTAAGGGTTCTGAAGTCCACTGGAGTGAAGAGCTAGAAATGAAAGGACGGTTTGAGATAAAGTGTAAGTTTGGTAAATTTCAGAGCAATATAGATTATTAAGCATTGTGAAATTGAGATTAATTTAAATGTAATACTAGCCATGCAGCTAGTGACTGAGAGCAAATATGTTAAACATATGACTGAGGGATGGGACCACAAACAGAAATTGCAGTATTTAGGGGCTTTATCTCAATATATGATGCATTTTGTCTTATTTTTAAATCCTCATTTAGTCAGTGTATTTACTGTATGTTCAAAGCTGTTGCCCAGTGCAGGAGCACATTGTGAGTCACACTGTCACAGAACCTTATTTCCTCATGAGGAGAAAAAAAGAGAACAACAAACCTCTCAAATGTCCACTCATACCAAAGGTGAAAAGATTAGTTGCAGTCAAAAGAAGGGCAGAGTGGGTGTGATCACTAAAAGAGTAATATAACTCGTGTGTGGGAGAACATGGAAATCCTTCTGAGTAAAACCGACACCATCACACTCAGACACCATTTAAATCACAGACTAGAATAGAATGTGAACAACCACAAAACAACAACAACAAAAAAGCAAAAACACAAATGACAATAGCTGACAGCTTGCACACATCTTTTTCATATAGCCTAATTTTGCAAAAAAAAAAAAAAAAAAAAAGGGAGGGGGGGTTTAAAGGTCCATTAAAGGCTAAAATTTGAAATACCGGTAAATTCTAAGGTTATTTCAGTATCAGTGAGTGCAAAATCAATATCACAAAGGACTGTTTGGACAGCAATACATCATGATCTAATACACAGCGGGTAAAATAAGTATTGAACACATCATCATTTTTCTCAGTAAATATATTACTAGAGGTGCTAATGACATGAAATTTTCACCAGATGTTGGTAACAACCCAAGTGATCCATACATACAAAGAAATCAAACCATAAATGTCCAGAAATGAAGTTGTAATAATGTGGAATGGCACAGGGAAAAAGTATTGAACACACGAAGAAAGGGAGGTGTAAAAAGGCATGGAAAGCCAAGACACCAGCTGAACTCTCTCAGTAATTAGAAAGCAAGCCTGCCCCTTGTCAGTGCAAGTTAATATCAGCTGGTTCAGTCCCAAATGATGGCCAGGTATCACACAAGAACCATCTGATGATGGGTAAAAGTAAAGAGCTCTCTCAAGACCTTCACAACCTTATTGTTGCAAAGCATAATGATGGCATCGGTTACAGAAGAATGTCTAAACTTCTGAAGGTTCCAGTGAGCACTGTTGGGGCCATAATTCAGAAGTGGAAAGAACATTATTTCACCATAAACCGACCACGACCAGGTGCTCCTCACAAGATTTCTGACAGAGGAGTGAAAAGAATTATCAGAAGAGTTGTCCAAGAGCCAAGGACCACTTGTGGAGAGCTTCAGAAAGACCTGGAATTAGCAGGTACGATTGTTTCAAAGAAAACAATAAGTAATGCACTGAACCACCATGGCCTGTATGCACGCTCACCACGCAAGACTCCACTGCTGAAGAAACAGCATGTTGAAGCTCCTTTAAAGTTTGCTGCACAACATTTAAACAAGCTTGTGTAATACTGGGAGAATATAGTCTGGTCAGATGAGACCAACATTGAACTGTTTGGATGCCAGAATACACATCATGTTTGGAGGTCAAATGGCACTGCACATCAGCCCAAAAACACCATACCAACAGTGAAGTTTGGAGGTGGGAACATCATGGTGTGGGGCTGTTTTTCAGCATATGGTACTGGCAAACTTCAAATAATTGAAGGAAGGATGAGTGGAAAAATGTACAGAGACATTCTTGATAAAAATCTGCTTCCATCTACCAGGATGATGAAGATGAAACGTGGCTGGACATTTCAGCAAGACAATGAGCCCAAACACAAAGTCAAGGAAACTCTCAGTTGGTTTCAGAGAAAGAAACTAAAGCTGCTGGAATGGCCCAGCCAATCACCTGACCTGAATCCAACAGAAAATCTATGGAAAGAACTAAAGATCAGAGTTCATAGAAGAGGTCCACGAAACCTTCAAGATTTGAAGACTGTTTGTGTGGAAGAATGGGCCAAAATCACACCTGAGCAATGCATGCCACTAGTTTCTCCATACAGGAGGTGTCTTGAAGCTGTCATTGACAACAAAGGCTTTTGTACAAAGTATTAGATAAATTTCAGTAAGTGTGTTCAATACTTTTTCCCTGTGCCATTCCACATTATTACAAATAACTTCATTTCTGGACATTTATGGTTTGATTTCTTTGTATGTATGGATCACTTGGGTTGTTACCAACATCTGGTGAAAATTTCATGTCATTAGCACCTCTAGCAATATATTTACTGAGAAAAATGGTGAAGTGTTCAATACTTATTTTACCCGCTGTATATATTTTTAAACACCATGCATTTGGTCAAAGCAGGGGGTTTCCTTGATGCCCACACCTGGTTTAGAACAAGTGTGAGCTTATAGCAAGTAATAACATTGTTGCAATATTAAACAATACTGTCACACACCACAGGTTTTTCTAATCTAGTACAGCCATATTTAGTAGCACACTGTGACCATAACCTTGATAAAAATGACTGTAATGAGCACTGCTCTAAATACACTTTGGTACAGGAAACACAAGCAAGCAAATAAAGCATTTAACACTGTGAACATCTTCTTTGATGACTGCATTAATTGACATTTCCATCCTCTGACTGTTTTCACCTGCTATTTTTTATTTATGAACTATAAGCTAACTCTAATGGTTGATTTGTCTGTTGCGTGTTACCATAGCTAATGTCTCTGTGCCAGAAACTACACTGAAGTCCTTTTTTTCCCATTTTTAACAATATCAGGCAAATGGCTTGGTTTAGGTGCAGTCTGTCAAAGAGACGGTGCGTTCTAGTTACTGAAACAAGTAATATGGCTCATTTAGGAAAGTACTTTTGACTCTGGATGAGCTGACTTTCATCACCTTTTCATGTTATGCATGCCATCTCTTATCAAGAGATAAGAGATTGCACGCGTGATGCATCAGAAGCGCATGGGTAAAAGCTAAACTTGTGAATTAGATATACGTAAATAGCTAAATATGTTGTTAAAATAGATACTTGATAGCTACGACAGATGGAAGTAAGTAGATATAAGAGAGAATTTTGATGTGTGTGTGTAAATATATTTAAAAAAGAATGAAACCAACAGTATTAACCTGAGGGAAGTGGCTTTCTATGGAACAGTCAGTGGGGACATTTAGACTTGAAACCTACAAGAAGAACCTCTGTTTTGTTACATTTGAGTTTGAGAAAATTGTGAGCAAACCAGTTTTTAATTTGTTTTTAACAGTCTGAGGGAAGAGAGAGGAAGTGGGTTCATCATAGAAGTGAACACACATTTTCTCTTGCCAGACTTTAAACGATCTTTGTTTAGCTCAGTTGTATTTGATTACTTGTTTTATGGTAAAAGTGGTCACCATCAAATAATAAAAAAGACTGATTAAAGTAAATTTACTTGTTCAACAACTGCTGAATTTTTTTTTGTTTTGTTAGATTATAAAAGAGTTGTAATTGTGCAACTGTAGAATAACTGTACTGTAGTTTGTACTAATGTGATGTTAAAAGACATTGAAAGCTTGAGACACCATTAGTGACGGCAGTATTGGCTCTATTTATAAACTGAGCAGTCACCTCCTCAGTCAGTGCACAGGTTTTCTCACACAGGAATACCCAGCAAAAGACAAGCGCACACTCGCTATAACACCTCGGAGCAGTTTTTCTTCACAGCCTGTGTGATGAGTGTGGGAGGAAACCCAAACAAAAAACTCCAAACAGAAGTTCATTAGAATTAAAAACAAATCTTCTCTGTCCCCATTTAATCATCATATCACTTGATTGCTCAGCTGGATCTTTGTGTTTTGATGTTTTTTTTTTTGGTGATCTGATGTCTGTGGGTTGTGTAGTTTTCTGCACAGTTTCAATAAGCTACTGTGAAAAAGAAAAAAAAAACTAAACTTGTAAAATGTGAGTTTTGTGCTTTGAAAGCTGAATGAGAGCTGTTGTCATCAAGTGTTGCAACCACTTCCTGTGAAAGCAGCCCCGGCTCATTGCACTACGTTGTTACATGCAGACTGGGGGGTGGGTGTGTGTGCAGCTYTTGTTCACATCCCACTTCCTAAATGTATGTATTTAACTGTTGCTGATATGTTGAAATGTATTAAAAATGTGCTCAGTTGTTTTTCTTAACATGCAAAGTAAACCTTTCTGGTTACATTTTCTAATATAAATGTAACCATTATTTTTGAGTCAGTCCAGCTGATTTCTTCACAACAAGCATTCATCTGAAACAGAAAACTAGTTTGAACAACACTGCCAGAAAAAAAATGGATATTACACGCTTTCCTGGGCTTTGTGTGGTTCTAAAACCTCTTCATTTMGTTTCTTATTGCAGAGCCAGGCAGTGTCAGATGGAGGTAAGCAGAAGTCGACATGCTCGCCGCTAATCTTTACATCTAAAACAATCTGAAACACGTCTGTACAAGAAACGATATGATTCAGTCTCACYCTTGTTTTTTTTTCTTCTTGTCAGTGCTGATAAACGAGTGTCTTTGTGATTGTGTTGCAGAGCTGAACATGACTGCGCGCGGCTGCGGAGGCAGCAGCACCAGCCTTCCAGGGACTCCAGGCGGAGACGCCGGCCCCGCCAACAGCGTGCTGAGCTGGGCCGTCTCATTCGAGAAGCTGTTGGAAGACCCCTGTGGGGTCAGTTACTTTACGGTGAGAAACAGTTTTGGGGATTTTTTTTTTTTGAACAGGCCTTGATAAAACTCATTTGCTGCTGATTTTTTTAAATTTATTTTTGGATTCACGTGTTTACGCTGTTTGCTTATGTGTTTGTCTGCAGGCCTTCCTAAAGTCAGAAGTGAGTGCAGAGAACATTTTATTCTGGCAGGCGTGTGAAAAGTTCAGGAAGATTCCAGCAACATCCTTGGATGAGGTTTTTTGGTTTTCTACTTTCTTTTTTATTCATATAAATGAGTTTATTGTTGCTCATTACACTGTAGTAACCTTCTATCTTTAATAAATACATTCAATTTTCATTTTCTTTCATTTTTTTAGAGTTTAATTTTATTAAAAGTAATAAAGTAGTTGCACAGRGTTGTATTAAATACCTACATTTTTAATATTTGAACAAAAACTAAATATTTTCTGTAGACTGCAGTGATGGAATGAGCAGTTATTAAAGTTCTCAGTCCTGTGGAGAAGCAGTGTTTTATTTTTCTTTTATTATAGTGCTAACAAAATGACAAACTTCATATTTACCAGATTATCTGAATGCCAAATACTTAGGGAAATTAATTGCTTGTTAGAAGTTTTTATCTTGGGGGCTTGGTGGGTTATTTGTATTTTTGCTGCATCAAGCACTCATGCCAGGAAGCAGAGGTATTAAATGTCACAATAGTTTTACATGATGTGAGTTTCCCCTTAGATCAGAGGTGCCCAAAGTGGGGTCRYCGGCCCAAAATTGGCCCGCCAAGCCATTTGATTTGGCRRACCASCAGTTGTCCTGGTTATTAGATTGTAATCTCCTGTCCTATGTAGAAACACTATATTTCCACTTTTCAACCATTGGTCTAAATATGCGTACAAGGAGCTGAAGTCAGATAGTCTTAACTCATGGTACTCACTTTATCTTTGAATTAAGTTAAGATTAAATYTAAAATATAAGTAACTACATGAGACATTTAGGTTAGATTTAAGCACACATATAGATTTGCACACCTTATAAGACCACATATACTCAAATTTTAATTTATGAAAAGTCCCATGAGCCTTTGCTGCCAGAGCATATGTTGAATTTTCCCCATGTCCGTGGGCTGAAAAAAAAAGAATGTGGGCAACTGCACTGGTTGCTAGCTTATTCATAAAATATAAAACAAGTATTTGCATTTCATGTATTATATTACTGCATTTGGCCCGCGGCCCTCAGATTTATTTTAATTTTGGCCCTCTCAGGGAAAATGTTTGGACACCCCTGGGTTAGATAATGAATGAAAGATTAGAACAGTGTCAGTTGCGTCATTGTGTGTCTGTTTCTACGTTTGAACGATTTATAAAATATGGATGGCAAGGGAAGTTGGTTGTTAAAAGTATAACTCCTGCTTGCAGCTAAAGATGACAGCTCGCTCCATCTATGACACCTACCTGTCTGAAAGTGCTCCTGACTCGATAAACATRGATGACACGGCCAAGACAGAGGAGAAAGACTTGGATCAGCCCACTCCGGACATGTTTAACAAAGCTCAGACGCAGGTTTGCATCGACTTCTCTTTAATCAGTATCAACAGTGACGTGCAGTTTGACTCCTCCTGTTTCCCTTTCCTTGTGGCAGATTTTTAAACTCATGAAGATGGACAGCTACAGGCGCTTTGTGCGCTCTCCTCTCTACCAGCGCTGCACCTTATCGAGCGTAGAAGGCAAACTTCTACCACAGATCTCCACAGGGCCTCGACACGTGGGGTCCTGGGAGGATGTGGTCACTAAAGGCACCTCGAGTGACAAGAAGGTGAATAACCGGATGGACAAAAAAAAGGAAGCATGAGATATTTATTTGGCCTTTACTACAACATTATTGTTACCACATTATTCTTAAACAGGGCAAGAGCTCAGACTCCAACAGCCGGCTGGGTGTGAGGAGTGCCTCGGAGAAGAGGGGATCCTGGGGAGGTAGTATCTGCTATTTTTTTCAATTTTATGTAAATATTCAGATTTTTATTCTTTGTCTAATTTGTTGTTTGAGATCCATCAAATGTTCGAGTCTCGGGAGCCTTTAAAGACTCTCTATCTGTGAAATCAACCAGCAGCGTGGAGCTTGGCTCCCTCCACAGGCAAACTGAGGTCAGTACATTTGCAGCATATGAAAAAGGCTGAGCTTAATCAGTTATAGTTTGTTTTGTTTTAGAATTGAAAGCACAAGAGATGAGCTTTTYATCGTTCAATCAAATCTTTTCCTTTCTGTTCTGCAGAACGGCCGTTCCAGTCCTCGCTTGCCTGAACAGCTGGGTGGAAGTGGAAGTCGTATCGGGGTGGAGGGGGGTTACTGCTGTGTCTACCTGCCAGACGGGAGCGCCTCTCTGGCCCCCACACGAAACGGCCAACAGATCAAAGATATGCTGGCTAGTCTGTGTGAGAAAAGAGGCTTCCCACTGAAGGATGTTGTCATTTATCTTCACGGCAAGAACAAGGTGAGCTTAAACTAAAACTGTACGATGGTCCCCACAGCTTTATACTCTAACAACGTGTGGTTTATAACAGAGGTTCTTAACCTTTTTGACCTCAGGGCCCAATTTGTTGAACATAAAGTGGCACGAGGCCCAGTCACACATTACTAATGTATGGATCAAAATGATAATTATTCTAAATATTGGTTTAATTTTTATTGTATTTACATCATAACTAAACAATCATAACTAACATAACTAAATTAAATACACTTACAGTTTAAAAGTAAAATAAAAACAAATAATCACAAGACATGATTATGACAAACATTTTTATATTATAACCTGCCCATAACAATTATTTGAACAAATACGAAGGTCAGTCAACAGACCACTCAGGCTTATCAGCACAAATATATATATATAATAACAAAAACAGACAATTCAAAAGATAAAATTATGGGCATAAGATAAATAAATTAAAAATGTTTAATGTAAATGTTTCAAATAAAAAAACTGTAAAAATAAATTTGATAAAGTACTAATGAAAATATAGCATTTTAAAACTTTTGTAACCAGAAGCTGCTCTTCATATTAGTGACAAACTATAACAGTAACAACAGCTTTTTGACAAGTTTAAAATTTCTTTAAAATACATTCAAAATGTTTAAAAATAAACTACAAAAATTTATTTAAAGTGCAAATTAAATTATAGCTGTATCTGCAACTGTATTTGATAATGTTTTGAACTTTTAAAATATTGTATGGTAATAACAGAAGCTGCACTTCATGTGTTTTTAATGAGTTACTTTCATTCTTGCCTTCAACTTTTAATTTAAAATAGGTTTTCATTCCGGTCAGGTTTCCAAGGTTCTTCTTCTACATATTAAAAAAGTTGTTAAACAACTCAGTGGCACACTACCGCTACTAGTGGTGAGAAAGTGTATTGCATCTCATTCAAAATCAGTGCGGTCCCACGGCCCTCTGCGGCCCAAAGTTAAAAACTGTTGTTCTTTTGAGGCCCTCAAAGTGGCCCATGGGTTAAGAATCTCTGTTTTATAACACCCTCTCTCAATTATCGTTGACCATTTTTGGAACTTTATTTTGTCCAGATTTGATGTGCGTTTGTATAAAAATCATTAATTTCCTTCCTGTCTGATACACGGTTTCCCTCTCCTCATCAGCCCTTATCGCTGGACCAGGACTGCTCCGTGCTGAGAGATCAGCAGGTCACTCTCGAGCTCAGGGTGACGTTTGCGTGAGTCGGCTGAGTCACTTCCCTCGTGTTTGTTTTGTCCCTCCGCCTCCTGTTTTTGTCACCGCAGCAGGCTTTCACACTCACACCCCCCATTCCAACATGTCATTTTTCACCACATTAAAGGGAAGTCCTGGTGCTGGTATGAGACGTATCACCTGGCTCGCCTTCAGTGTGTTTTTTTAAAAAAAGTCAAATTATTCAACTGTTTGTGCAAGGAAGTAATCAGCTGCCAGTTTTCTTTGACTGATGCTGATGTGAGGGTTAATAATGACGTGCTTGTGTCACAGACTGGAGATCGCGTTCATCAGCAGAACCGTAGGAATCGTGGCGAAGTCCAGTAAGACTCTTCAGGATGCCCTCTCTGTGGTGATGCAGAAACACCACCTCAAACCTCAGGAGGTCTCCGTCACCATGGTGAGTGTGTGTTGCACTRGAATGGGTTTATTACTTGAGTAAACACATTTAGCCATTCAGAAGCACATTTGTGTGATGTAAACATCATGATTTTACATCCTGTCGGTCTGCACTGTTCCAGGTCTCCATTGCTGCCATAAGTTTACATACAGTCATAGATTACAGAAATACTTTATTAGAATTGTTGCTTTGGTACAAAAGGAATGTTTAAGACTTTATTTTTTTGTTTTACTGTAGTTAGTGTTTTGGGAAACATCAAGTTTCCATCAGAAATTATTATGGGGTTAGTCTCTTGGCTGAACTGCTAGGATCCATTTATATGTGTTAGTTTCCAGGTTTAAACCAACTTTTAAACCTCATTCCAAGAGTTAAAGGTGTTCATGAACCGGAGTGTGAGCCTACTTTATCTTTGGGATCAAATGTTTGTTCTGGTGACTACAGTTGAACTCATGTTTGTTCTAACTTTAAGAGAGCGGGCCAAATTTAATTATCTGAAAATAGACAAGTGCCAACACTTCCTCTGATCATTTATTCATTCTTAAAAAGATCCTTAAATGACATGAGGATTTTGAAAATGTTTGCTAGTTTGAGTTTCTTGTAGTTTCTCAAGTGCTGATGTCCACCCCTGATCATCAAACTAACACCTCTGTGCCTAAACCTGTTACTGTGGTTGAATGTTTTACAGGTAATCATTCGATAGTATATTTGTGTAACATTTTGTTTTGTCTGTGTCACCATCTGAAAATCTCAGCAGAGCTTAAATACATAGATTAGGAAGCTGCAGTTTCCTGTCTGACAGAATGGGTTTCGTAATTTCTCAGATAAAAATTCAGATGATTGTTCTATTAAAAAATTATTTTACTCAGCACGTCTACTTGGAGACAAGCTGTATGGCTCTTCGAAGGGAGCCGGATCACATCAGTGGTTCCCAAACCTTTCAGCTTTTGACCCACAAAATAAAAGCAGCAGAGACCTGAGCCCCCAGCTGTTGTCAGTTGATAAACATTGTTTTTACGTCAAATAAACAAGAGCATAATAACATTATTCATTACATTATTTTGTCCATTTTAAGTACACTAATATAACTATTTTGTAACAACAAAAATAAAAAAATGTTGCTAGTTGTCATTTTTTGGCGTAATTATTTCAGAAAATATTTTCAGGACCCCACCTTGATGTTTCAGGAGCCCATTGTGGGTCCCGACCCCAYCRTTGGGAACCACTGACGWAGAGCCTTTTAAACTAGTGATGTCACTATGTGGTGATATAAGAGCCAAACCATGTGACAAGTCCCCTCCTCTCACAAACACATCCCCATACAAAACTGCTGCTCTGCTCCCAGTTGGACAGTCTTTGACTCTGTGGAAAAACAGAGGAGTGTGTGTGTGTGTGTGTGTGTGTGTGCGCGTGCATCTGAGCAGGAAAACACAAAAGAAAATCCTAAATAGGGAAAAAATATTTAAAAAGGAATGGCTCTCAACTGTTTGTGATTCGGTCCCCACTGTTCATTTTAAAGAGCTGTTTCACAGATTTGTATCATTTGTGAACAAATCTGTAGTTTGTTAGTCGATTTACTGTTCAATACCAAGTTACACCATTTGTTGATTTTTTTATGTAGAATTTATTTTTTTGTCTAAAACGTTCCCACGCAGTACAGATTTCATAGCGTTGTAAACAATAAAGCTCCAAACTACTTATCTCAACGGTTTGAACCAGTAAGAAATCACCACTCTATTGGAACAAGGTTTAGTAAAAAGTCATTTCAAGTCCCAGCTGTTAAATTATGGCAAATCCTCTTTTTATTATACTGGGGTAATGCTGTGGAAACAGTTACCTGAGTATATTCAGGTTACTGCATGCAAGCCCCTATTCAAGTGTCGAGTTAAACAGTTCTTATTCCAAAGGTTAGTCTGGTGAGAATTAGATGATTATATTTATTAGGTTTTTTTTTAAATTGTAACTGATGTTATTTGTGTAAGTGATTTTGTGTGATGATCATGTGCTGGACCACAATGGAAATAAGCTTTTTTGTGTTATCCACTTATGTTAATGTTATTGCATATGATGTGCAGTGTCATTTACATAATAAATAAAATGAATGAATGAAGATTTGTGGAAATATTTCTGGACTTTTAAAATTTGTACCCAGTGAAGAGGCGTGTTCTTGTGATGGAGTCTCCCTGTTGCTCTTCAGTCCCTGTCTCAAAGCACATACACAGATRGATGTACACACAGAGCCACGTCGCATTTCTATCCTCTCTCCTAAGTTAGTTTTTCAGTAAAGRTCATCATTCTGTTTCTCTCCTCTCTTATAGTCTTAGAGGAGGCAGGTAGAGAATGTGTGAGGTGATTACAAAGAAGGTAACCCAGAATTGGACAGTTTTATTTTACAAACGTGTAAAGAAGACATGTTTTTCCACTGTGGAAAATTAAATAAATCCCGATGAGTTGACATTTTCCTGAATTCCTGTTGGATTTTTTTGGAAGATTTTTTTCTATTACTACTTATAAATATTTGTTTGAAGAAGAACCCTGTGGCACTTCTCCTCTTTCCCCGCTGATTGTGTTGTCAGTAAAATATCAGAAACAAATCCTCCAACTTTATTTTTGCTTTGTTTCAGGTTGGAAGTGACCAGGCCTTGACCATGAGCAGCTCTGTGTTCGGACTGGCCAATAAGACGATCCGATTGGACAAAACCAAAGGTAACTATGTGACCCAGTTATTTGCTTCAAAGTGAACCAGGCAAAATGTTATTCATAACTTTTCAGCTGATGTGCTGCACAGCTCCTTGAAAAGCACAACTAAAGGATTAGAAGAAGCCTTAATGAGTCACTTAAATCAGATAAAGTGGATTTCCTGCTGCCCATCAGCTGTGAGATACACAGGCCGGTCTTTGTGTGCGCTCTCAAGCTGCATGAGTGTCTTTCTCTTRTCATGTAATTGTTTCTTAATAGCCTCTAAAAAGCATTTACTCTCTGCAACTYGCTGAGAAGAATCTTTCAGCGTTCACCTGTCTGGTTTCTTTAATGATGATCTCTTTTGACTTTGATTTTTTAGTTTTTATTTTTTTCRCCCTCTTTGTGTGTCTCTTTGTTCTTTCCGTGGGTTTGAAACGTCTGATTCACTTTGGTTTGTTTACGGCTGTGTCATTTTCATTTCACTCACCTCTGCTGAGGAACCAGAACGGGCTTCGCTTTGGATCTGAGCTCTGTGCTTCAGAGCTCACATCACCACATTTACTACAGGCAAAAGAGATCTGCAGGGAAGTACAGTATGAAAGTGATTTTTTTTTATTTTTTTGTGAACACAGGTAAAGACCAYACCATCATTCCCAGAGGAAGTGGTTCTTTTGTTGCCAAACAGGTGAGACGTTGCTAAATAAAACACTTCTTAAGTTTTGTCGGGGAAAATAAAAATAGACTATTTGATGTTGAGTAGAAACAAAGCAGTTTTGTGATTGTCAGATATTTTTGCATGAATATTAACAGTTTGTGTTCTATTTTTATCTGAAGTCCTAATTAAAAACATGTAAAACACTGAATTCTTAACCAAGGCTGATTATTTTAGCCTTGGTTAAACAGTTTAAATGCATCAGACTCTTGTAACTGTCTCTTGGTTGCAAACACTCAGGAGACTGCAACATAACATTAATTTATTTTCTCACAATATTTGAGTCAAGTTCTAGCTGCCAACTCGTCTCTAATACCGGCAGCCCAGTGAGAAACTGCATATCCAGTTGTAATTCCAAGCCATCTTTTATCAAATACAAACCTCTTTATCCTGTTGAGGCTCCAAAAACACGAAGAAGTTGGTGTTTGTCAAAGATGCTGCCYTCTTTAAACTTTCTCATTTTAACAGCAGCTTGTTTTCAGTTCGATCTGGATTAGAGAAGTTGCTTCATGTCGACTTAAACCCGGAATCTGTTTTGGTCTCAGGGAGGAACCACGGGTACGGGTCTGGAGCCTAAATCATCTCTGCAGACAGACAGAAACCGGACGCAGCAAAGACCCAGTAAGAACCGCGATATGGACGGTAGGGGACCGCTTGTGGAGAAAAATAACATTTCAGACCAGGTCTAAGCAAAACAAACTGAACTAGAAAAATTGCATTTCCTGCGAAAATGCTAGTGTGAATGCCTGTTGCTGAAAGCTGCTGAAATTGAGAATGTTTAATAGCAAAAAGTATTGTTCGAAGTCAAACTTTAAAAGCTGAAAGAAGC